GCCCCGCAGGACAACCGGGGTGAGTGCGGACCCAACCCCACCACAAGTGCGCGGAGCCGCCTGACCCCAGGGGCAGCTCCAGGCCTCCCGGTGGCTCACACGGGCTGCCCTGTGACCTAGGGCCACCCCACTGAGGCTTCGGCCTCCCACTTGGTGGGGCTTGGGAACACCATCCCTTTAAGCGTACCACGCCCCCATCCCCACAAAGGAGCACAGGTTTCCCCAGGAGTTCTCTGCCCTTTGCCCAAAGAATTGTTGGTCAGGATGTGTGTTTTAATTTGTTTTATTTTGTCTTTGTTTTTTGAGGCAGAGTGTCTCTGTGTAGCCCAGGCTGGGGTGATCCTCCTGCCTCGGCCTCCTGAGTGCTGGGATTACACCTGAGTGCAGGTGTAAGCCACCACACCAGTGTGAGGCAGTGAATTCAGAAGAGGAAATGGTTATTAGAGCTCACAGTTCTGGGAGTTCCAGGGCCCCATTACTTTGGGCCTCTAGTGAGGGTGCCAGATGGCCATGATGGGCGTGTGGGTCCTAGTGAGCCCTTGTGCCCCCACAATCCCCTCCAGGGGCTCCTGTGACCGAGAACTTCCCGTAGAACTGCACCTCCTAAGGGTCCTCCCGCCTTCCAGCAGCGCACCTTGGGGACAAGCCTTTGGCAAGTGGGCCCCATGGCCAGGCCACAGCTGGCGACCTCCGCTGTCCCCCTCAGAGCCCAGCCACAGCCCTGCCCAGCCGGAGACGCGTTTCCACTTAGTTTTCTGCCACAAGGCCACGCGCGCCGCAGGCTCCACTCTTCGGAGCCCTTGCTTGATCCCTAGAGGGAGCCGAAGCGGGAGGTCAGGCTGTGCCCCGCTGCCCTGGGCCACAAGGAACTGCTCCCACTTGTGCCCTGCCTTGTCTGCAGTGCTGGGGTGGGGGGACACCCGGCAAGCCCCCCACACCGAGCCAAACCCACATCCCCAACATCTGAATGACAAACACAGCACCACCAAGGACACGGTGGTGGCCGCAGCTTTAGTTCCGAGCACCCCTGCTGACCCCAAGAGGGGCGCCACGGAGAACCTGTAGCGGCCGATGGGACGGAAAGGTTTGTGTTTTTGCCTTCCGCGCACAGGCTGTGGCCTGGGTGCCTTGTGGGGCACTTTCATCACAAGGACTGGAAGCCGCCTTTGGTAACTCAAGGAGCCCAGGAGCCCAGGAGCCCAGACCTGGCCGTGTGGGCAGGACATGGTGTGGGCTCACCGCGCGGAGGGGGCCACACTTGCACCCAGGGCCACTCGGAAATTCCTGATCCCTCCTGCTGCGGCCAGGGCTCTGATGATAGAGAGTGTGGGGGTTTGTCTGGGGGCCACCAAGGCCCTGCAGAAGACAAGAAGCCAGTGGAGGGTGGCGGGGCGTGGATCTGACGCGCCTCCTCGCCCCCAGCCATGTACCCCACCGTGTCAACACCCTGCAGCTCGGGGCCGATGCAGACCCTGTGCCCCTACTGCGGCAACTACGTGGTCACGGTCATCTCCCCCGTCCCAGGGATGCTCACCTGGCTGCTGTGCACCCTTCTTTTCTTCTTCGGGTGAGTGGCCTGGCCCGGGCCTGCAGAAGCCCCGCAGAGGCCCCCAGGCTGGGGGGGGCGAGGGAACTCGTGCGTTGAGACAGGCAGGATGGAGGCCCCGGTGTTGACCTGGCCGCCGGCACCCCATGTCCTCCCAGGACAGAGCAGGGCAATGCCTGCCAGCCGGGTGACTCCGGGCTGTCACCACCGAGACAGAGATGGTCACATGGCTCTCAGCCGGCCAGGCCTAGACCTGTCCCAAGGCCTGGGCGGCCTGGAGGTCAAAGGGGCACGTGGTGGCCAGGGCCCTGCTCACAACCCGACTCTTGAGGCTACAGGTGCTTCCTGGGCTGCTGCCTCCTGCCCTTCTGTGTGCAGAGCGTGATGGACGTGCAACACTCCTGCCCCGTGTGCCACCACACGCTCTTCCACCACCGCTGCCTGTGACCCCCAGGAATAAATGCCACTGACCCAATGGGCGTGCTGCCCGCTTCCGTGTGTCCCTCGCTGTGCTCCCGTTGCTGTGAAGGTGGGGCCGGTGCCCACGGAGGTGGAACGCTGCAAGTGCCCGGGTGGCACCGGCGTGGCCGCCCTGCTATCTTGAGGTCCAGCTTCCTCTCCAGGAACCGCACCTGGGGACCATCTCCTGCCTTCCTGCCTCCTTCCAAGGGGCCCTGCCCCTGGGAAAGTCTACCCTTCTAGGAAGTCTGTGCCTGCTGTCCCCTACCTCCTCCCTTGCACCCACCCTGACTCTACCTGGTGTCCAGTGGCTCCTGTTCTGCCCCTAGAGAGTGTTTACCTCCTTCAATCCCTGCCTGCACCCCAAGCTTCATCTCACGCCCCCCTCTTCTTTCCCGGGCTATGCCTTCCAGCCCTGCCCTGCCCTCCTCATGGGGCTGCCAGGGCTCCTGCCCTCACCTCCTGCATCCCACCACCTCTGTCCTGGGATGCCTCAGGGACCCCACAACCCTAGTGGGTCTCCAGTGGCTCCCTCTGTCCTCCACGGTGGGTGAGGATGGCACCGCCATGCCTCTTATCCGATACACCAGTCAGCCTGTGGGTCCTTTCTGCACAATGACTTCTACCCTGCCCCTTGTCGTGCCTTTTCTCCTCCCAGGAGGAGCGGTCCCAGTGGCTCCCTACCTGGGTCTGGCCTGCTCCTTCTGTCCCCACCAGCAGCCCATGGCCAGCACAGGGTGAGAGCAATTAACATGGGCAATAGTCAGTCACCACAGCTGTACTGCACCAGACGCCTGCCTAGAACTCACCAGCCTCAGACTAAACTGAGGCCAACTGTAAGCCAGCTCCGGCTTCCCTCCTGGACGCCAGCCGGCCAGGACCAAGTACTGTGCCTTCACCACGCGCCACACCCATCCTGGGCCACCCCGCCCTGACCTGTCCCTCCCCCTCTGCTGTCACGAGCTCCTGGCACCCCCAGGACCGAGCAGGGACAGAGGCTGGGACAAATCTTCCCTTGGAGCATGGCAGGCGATGGGCAGATGGCCACAGGTCCTGTCTCAAGAGCACCCTCACAGCATGAGTGGGTCCCCACCGGGCCCTGACCCTGACAGGATGCCAAGGTTCTGCCCAGCCCTGGTCAGCACCTTTTCCTGACTCAAGAGTAGTCCCAGAACCTTGGAATGGAAACTGCTCAGTGTGGGAGAAATGTCCCTTGCTGTCTCTTAAGTGGGAGAATTCACAAGGAAAATCCACACTTCCTGGCTGCTTCCGTCTGCAGCGGCTGCAGCTCAGGGACTCACAGCACCCACCTGACCCCCCATCCAGCCTGCTGCAGAGCCACCCACCTGGCACCCCTGCCCACAGTCTGGACCTGCTCCTGCTCATGAAGATGGATCTTTCCTGGCAGAGGAGGTTGGCATGCTAAAAGTTGGGGGGCATCTCCATCCCACCACCAGGGGGCGCTCCGCTCTTCACCCAGCCACACTGACCCCCCACAGGACAAGGTTCGGTCTCCGAGCTGCCCAAATGCTGGCTGCTGACCGCAAGATCACAGCCCGTTGGCAGGTTCTCTCAGCTCAGCGTGACATAAGGTTGCAAAGCCCGTCGATGCCAAGTTCTGGGTTACTGTTCCCCACCACCCACGTCTGGCCTGGCCAGAGCCAAGAGATAGAACCGGATGGTGCTCCTTATCACAGGTGCAAGACAGCAGGGCACAGTCCTAGCTGGGGTGGGGCTCCAGCTACGAGCAGCCGAGCACCCGCTGGCAGCAGGGCAGAAGTCCGTGCACCTGTGGCTCTCACCTCCAGGCAGGCTCAGAGAGCGAGGGGCACTGATGGGCCCCCAAGCCACAGGAACCCGGAGCACGACAGACAAGGTCTTCTCTAGCTCCTCCCGCCCCACCCTAAGAACAGTCTTGCAGGAAATGCTTGAAATGACTAAAAGGGACCCACTCTTTTCTGGCAGGAGTGGGTGGGTGTCAGCCTTACCACCTACCGGCTGGTGCGGGCTTCACGGATGGTCTGGGTCCCTCCGTGTTAAAGTCTTATGCTGTGACTGTGTGCCGGTCCCCAACAGCCACTGGTGACCTCTGGAACCCATACAGTCCTGCTATCCGTGGTAATCTTATGCTGTGACTGTGTGCCGGTCCCCAACAGCCACTGGTGACCTCTGGGGGGCAAGTGTGGTACCCACCTCTGGAACCCATACAGTCCTGCTCCCAAATGCCTTTCGAGGCTACCCATGGGCCTGTTTCTGGCCACAGCTAAATGCAGCGAAGCGTGTGACCGCCCGCTCCACATCAGACATGCGATTGGTCAGGATCGCGGCCACTGCAGGGGACAGCTTGGACAAAGCGACCGCCCACAGCCGGTCAGGACAGGCGTCCAGGATGGCAGGAGCCACACACGATCTTGGGGACACACGGCCCCATCCTGATACCTGTTTCTGGGAGGGGCGAGGTCCGGCCCCAGGTTCCTCGTCACTCGCTCCCCACAGTGGACCTGCTGAGGCAATGTGCAAACCTGCCTTCCCCAAAGAAGTCCCCAGGTTCCCAACACGGGGACGGACTCCTTCCCATCGAACCCAGGGTGTGGTGAGCCCTGCAGCCAGGATGCGGTCTTGCTGCCAGGACAGCGGAGCAGAGTGCCGTCGGCGGTTCTTGTGAGGCCCCAGGAGACAGTAATTGGTATCTAGCCTTTCATCAACCCTGGCTTTAACGCAGTAAAACAAATCACACAAGAACTGTGTTCGCTCTCCCTCTCAGTAAGCCCACACTGTGAGGTCCAACTCATCTTGCCTTCCGCCTGGGAATGTGGGTCCAAACCCAGACCTCATCCATGACTCTCAGATCTCACTGGCCTCAAAAGCAAGCACATGAGCCAAGCGCAACCTGGGAAGGGGCGCTGCAGCCGCAACCTCCTTTAAGAAGAGGTGGCCCTGGACTCCCTCCCTTTTCCGTCACAGGACTCACCCACAGGGGGTTCTGACTCCTGTTTCAATGCCAGAGGTGTCACCCCGCCCCCATAAGCAATAGACACGAGCCTCCGGAGGTACCCGCCGCGACTGCTGCCTCAAGCTCTACCAGGAAGGCCAGCGATTCCTGCCAAGCGTGGCCCCAACATGTGCTGGTGGGGGACACTGGGAGTCTTCACGCCACGAGCCCGTCATGCACCCCTGGAAATGTCCACACAGAGGTCACACTTCAGATCGAGGCTGTGGCACAAGCACAGGGAGAAGACACAACACCCTCGGAAGGCAGCTGGCTCCCTGAATTAAATTTAGGAAGCTGCATTCCTCTCCCCACATCCCATTTAGTAAATTCAAGCACTGGATACCTGAATTTGCAATAGATGGAAAGGCAGATGCAGCACACACATAACGAACACCAAATGAGGTTGAGAAAAGTCATTTAATATCTTAGGGACAATAGTAAGTTTTAGTTACCTAGGACTCTAACCAACCCCCAGCCAAAACCTACAACGAAGAAGTACCTTAGCGCTCATTTGAAGACAGCACACGGCCACACACCCCCGTCACCTGCTACTCATCCCACTCTTCAGAAGCGAGCCGGGAGCAGGAAGGCACACACTTCACAGTGGAAATTGAGGACAGAAGCTGCTCCGAGGTGCAGACTGGCCAGAGAGCAGGAACACCGAGCCAGAGCAGAGCTGCACTGGGCACCGGACAACGGCCGCCTCCCCCGGACCACACCGTCCCACACCCTGCAGTGTTCTGCCACCCCAGCCACGCAATGGTCCTGCCCGAGAACACTTCTGAAAGGCAAGTCATCCCCCGACCGCCCTCTGCCACCCTGGAATTAAGAGGGAAAAAAACAAAACACATCCCTTTAAAACCTTGGCAACGTGCAACTGCTTCCCAAACCTGTATCCAGGGAGGGGAGAAACCTTCCTGAACTTCCATGTCATTCACTGAATTATAAGTTTTATAGAAAATTTTATTCAACATACAACATTTTCCAGCAAAAAGGCAATATACAGGAAGAGTTGTTGTACACCGCTGCTACAGAAACAAACAAAAAATATTGGAAAAGGAGGAAAAGAAGTGTGATCTGCGGATTCTATTTTACTGCACTCCAAACTAGACACGCAGCTGGCATTAGCTCCAAAATAAAAGGGAATGAGGTTGGGGCGGAAATAAAGCCACATACAGTGAGTATCCAGCTTGCAGACTCACTCAACAAAAAGTGACCTCCTCCCAGTGGCGAATTGTACACGGTCATTCATTAAATATACAATTTCATTTTTCCTCTTTATTTAACCTTTTTTACAAAGCCAACAGCTTCCTAACCACTAGCGAGCGTGCCCTCTTGCTCTTTAGGTCCTTCTGTCTGCTCCACTGCCTCGGACTTCTATTTATAACCCTTTCACCTGCTCATTTAAATTTGCTGAGAGGCAGCACAGTAAACCTGAACTGTATTTAACAGTGTTGTCAATTTAATAAAAAGACCCAAAAATGTCTGTCGGGACTGCACTCAGCGCACCCACGTTGCGAATGGGCTGCAGAACAGCAGTTGCTGACGGAAGGAGATGGGCTCATTAGAAAGACCCCAGGCAGCAGGAGGAGGAACCCGAGGAAGGGCGGACAATGCACACAATGAAGGAGAGAGCGCTATTTATTAGGGTGTGAGTTTCTCTGTTTGCCTTTACAGATGCACAAAAGGTCATTGGAAGGATAACTGAAGGAAATAAGTCAGACGAGCCTGCACATCAGAGGGGGTGGCGGCAGGCAGGCAGCCAGGACCCCAGGCAGGCAGGGGGTCCCCAAGCCACCCACACAGCCCAAGACCTTGTGTCAGGACACGTGTCTGAGAACCTCTTCTCCCATGCGCTGACAGTCGCCTTGCATCATGGTTACCATAAAATAACTCTCATTGGCATCCAAGCTTTATAAAAACACCTTCATTTTGCTCAAAAAGGGCAGTCAATAGATACAGAGAAGCCAAACTGAACAGCCTCAACAAAATAAAATTAACATCAGCAGCAAATCTTCTTGCTGGAGACTTCGGCTAGAGTGCACGTGTACCAAAGTTCTACGGCTGTTAAAAAGGGGCACACACCCACACGCTGTCCCTCGCCTTGAACACACCGGGAAGAAGTCAGTTGTGGATTTTAATAGCCTTTTCAAGGTATGTGTAGCGACTCCTCTTTGGGGCTTTGTTGAAGTGGTCAAGCCCTAGCCAAGGCCGAGGATGAGACATGTTGCCTGGTGGGGAGAAGAAACAAGGAGTGAGACCCAGAGCGACCCTAGAGCCCGCAGGTCCTCAGTGACCTCCAGATAAAAAACGGCTGCTGGTCCCCGTGGTCTGGGATGCTGAGCCCGTCCCCAGCTGGTGAACCTCTTGGAGGTACCCGGAGCAGGGCCGGCGCAGGGCCTGCACCGCAGAGCATCTGCACCCCGCCCTGAGCTAGCGATGCGTGCAAACCAAGGATTCCACCCCGAAACGACCCACAGGTGACAGGTGCTGTTCCACACGCCGGGCGTGCAAACACAACCGTGACGGAAATGCATCCAGCCAGAGGGCTCTTACCAGGCTGTGGCTCAAAGTCTTTCAAATTTACTTCGTACTCATCTTCATTAATGTACTGGTGCCGGCCCATCATTACAATTGCGAATTTAAACTAGAAGACAAAAATCAAAACTCCTCCATTATTTCTGTGTATTGGCAGAACTCACATCTCTGGCAAAAAAAAAAAAAAAAAAAAAAAAAAAGAAGCTGTTTCACTAGCCTAGGTCTGAGCACGCCAGCCCTCAGAAGCGCACACCTTTTCAAACTCCTTTTCCTGAATGTCCAGCAGGCTCTGGATTCGCTTCATCACTTCTCTGAAATGCTCGCCCTGGAAGGCAAAGGACACGTGTGCTCATGGGGCCATTCCCTGGGCCGCTCCCACTGTCCCTGGGCTGCAGCCATCAAACCAGGAGC